TTTCGTGGACTACAGCCCACTTCTTCGGATGCATCCGAAGAAGTGGGCTGTAGTCCACGAAAGCTTATGCTCTAATAAATTTGTTAGTCTCTACGGTGCCACAAGTACTCCTGTTCTTCTTTTTGCGGATACAGACTAACACGGCTGCTACTCTGAAACATCTCTTATGAACCTAATCAGTCCTATGGCCTGTTAAAACCCTAATCCTTCACTAAATCAAGATTCAAAAACTCCTAAGTCATTTTGGGGGGAAGATCAATGGAGCCTGTGGGCCCCTGCCCAATCTGATCCCTGAATCAATGAGATGAAACAATAGCAGACATTCGCCATATGAATGTGGCCTTTGTAGCTCAAGTGAAGGAATTGAAGTGGTTACACAAGCAACTGGATCCTAATGAGGAAGAGTAATCAGAAACCCAGTAGCTTCCTCCTCTCTAATGGAATGGGATACCTGGTTTTCTGGACCAGTTAACCAGGCCGGTGACTCCAGAAACTAAGTAAGGTGAGGGGGAGAGTATTCACACATTCACAACCACACCACCAGATTCCATCATGTCATATAATATCCTCCTTATATACAGACAGAGCAGGGAGACTAACTGTATCAGCTCTCATAAGAGGTCACAAGGTAATGTTCATTGTTGATATAGATGCAAATATATCTGTATTATATGACCCTCACCCAGTCATGTCACCGTTGGCAGGAAGAGGAGTCATATTTCTTGAAACCTTTATGAAAGAGCCTATCACACCCACTGATAGCCCGCATAGGAGTTTTATGCAGGACTCATGTGTTTACTCTGGCAAAATTACCAAAACCACAAAGCCTGTTGGGAGCAGATTTTCTGATGAAGCAAAGGTTAATTTTAGATTTGACTAACAAGTTGATTTGTCAAACAGTGGTAAAGGATTTGGGGAAAGAACCCTTTGTGATTCCAGAATTACATGAGCCATGTCCCAAAGAGAGATGCATAGCTGGAAGATTATGCAGTTATACTGTATTCAGACACTGTTTGGGTGTACAACTCCTTAACAGACTTTTTACCCTTTTGGCTTAGAAGTGGTTTTACCTCTACTGATGGCTCCATGATAAAATACCCTATTTTAGTATCTAATATGGTTGAGTTAGCCTTTTGTTTACAAAAGCCCCTTTTGATTAAAAAGGCTAAGGCTCACAGTAAAACTGATCCATGTGCCATCCAAAAACAGAAACCAGACTGGCTGGCTAAGTAAGGAGCAGCAGGAAAAGATCTGTCAGTGTGTAATCAATTATAGTAAAAGACATCCTTAATCAAGCACCTGTGGCCTCCTAAAAGGAAAGGGTTCAGGATGTTATTCCAAATCTAAGAGAATTCAAGAAATTCTCTTAAATTTGAATAACATCCTGAACCTTGACATGGCTGGATCAGGTTTTCAGTCAGACTATTTAATAAATGTCTGGGTTAATGACTCAAGGAGTTGTAGGTGCAGGCTGGATTGGGAATAATGCTCTGCCTGAGAATTCACCTTACAAATCCTTTGAAGGAAATTTTGAAATAATTGATGGGATTGGAATGTACACCAAAGATGTGGCCAGTGCCTACAGCTCTAAGAAGAGAGCTCATCCGTTTGGTTCAGGATTCCCCCATGGGAGGACATCAGGGAACTGAAAAGACCCTCCAACAGTTGTCCACTCTAGGATGGTGGCTCACTATGAGGGAAGATATTCATGAATATTGACAGTCTTGTCTTGTTTGTGCTCAAGATAATCCCACACCAGGAAAAAGAAATACTCTTTCAAGGTCACAAAGGCATGAGGTCCTTGATATACCTTACCAAACAAGGTTATAGGATCCCTGCCAATTACTCAGAAGGGGGAAAAAATTGTTTGTGATTGATTCCTTTTTAAAATTATTGGAAGCTTTCCCCAGGTAAACCAATACAGCACTAGTCTCGGCAAAAGTTCTGGTACTACAGGTGAAGCTTCCATGGTGATAAATCAGGCCTCGCAGCACGATGGAGAGATACCCATTCCTGCTGATACAGTCTTTCTATACTGCAACTGGGAGGTGTGATTGCAGCATGTGTAAACATACCTGAACTAACTTTGATCTAGCTAGGTCTAAAGTGGCTCAAACTTTATGATGTTCCCAGGTTATGCTGCCACGGCTTCACTACTATTGTTATTTGAGCCACTTTTGACCTAGCTAGATCAGGGGTTCTCAAACTGGGGGTCGGGACCCCTCAGGGGGTCATGAGGTTATTACATGGGGGGTTCGCAAGCTGTCAGCCTCCACCCCAAACCCCACTTTGCCTCCAGCATTTATAATGGTGTTAAATATATAAACAAGTGGTTTTAATTTATAAGGGGGGGGGTCACACTCAGAGGCTTGCTATGTGAAAGAGGTCACCAGTACAAAAGTTGCAGAACCGCTGAGCTACAGCAAAGCTAGCTTAGGTATGTCTACACATCCTGCAATCACACCTACCAATTGCAATGCAGACATATCCAAAGATTTTGGCGTGATATGGTTGGCGTAGAATAGGAATGTGTGTCCCATCAATAGCCACAGTTGGGAACCCCATCTATGCAAAGCCATCAATAACCTCCTGTGCATTGCCAAACTTTAAGCCATGCAGTACCTCATTTTGGCATCAAGTGGGCAGAACTTGGGAGAGTATCCCTAACCTATTAAACTACTTGTATTCTTCTCAAGGAACAGCCATTACAAATAATTTACCCCAAAAATTATACAGCAGAGCAGTATTTCCCACTTACCAATATCTCTTAAGAAAAAACATTTAGATAAAGATACATTTTAAAATATCCATAGGTCTGAATTAAAGATTAAATTAACTTTATTTTCTGTGGTAAATGGTGGTTTTATCATGCTGGCCACTTGAGATTTGGAGAGTCCTGTTAACTTCCCTGCTTTTAAATGTTTTGATTTTGCAATTGATATGAGAGGTACGCACATCATCACTCACCAGTCTTAACTTGCTTTAGAAACACTCTCTTCTGAGACTAATATAGAAATGTGGGGGGGGGGGCGAAGAGACTCAGATTTTTGCTAAAGTCCCTGAGGAAATCCTACACATTTGGGATAGATTCCCATAGATGGCCATGGCTGGAAATGACACTAATTTTATGGGCTCAGTCTGGCTTCTAGACAATATCTCATCACCACAAACCATTTTTAAAACAAATGATAATGCTGCCCAAGAGAGACCCAAGACTGGAATAACAGAGTTGCTTGTCAAATTTGATGTGCACTGGCAGATCTGCATATGGAAACCTGACAATCTCTTACCCCACCAATACCTCACTCTAAACAATACTTGATACTGGAGATTGACAAAATCCACTTGCTAGTGGCTAGTGTGATGCTGTCTCTAGTGAGTGTAAGGGCCTATGCTATACTTTTCTGGAAAATTGCAGTATTCGTTTAAAATACTGAATTTTTAGCTCTTATGGTTAAAAATAATCTTACAAATGTAAGCCAATACATTGTTGTCTCCTGAGTTTGCACGGACTATGCTCAGTGCTTTGCCAAGCAGAAGTGGAAAATTAACACAACTGATAGATTTCATTGCCAGTATTCAGTCTGATTGTTAAAAGTCATTTCAGTTTCACACTGCTGACTTTTCTGGGACAACTATGAGTAGAGGCAGAGTCAAAGTCAAACTGGAGTTACTCACTTTTTTTGGGGTGGTTGTCTCTTGTAGCAGGAACTCCCTTGCTTCCACCTCTCCTTGCATCAGTCATTATATAGTCAACTTCAAAGTGACAGCATAAATTATGTATACGTCAGTTAGAATGACTTCTTTTTTCAAATAAGTATCATTCCAATATATCTTGTTACAGATTCAGCATTCTGGACTTATTTGCATACACTGGACAACATAGCAAAGAAAGTAGTAAAGTATTAAGGACAACTTCAGATCCTGGATCACTGTCAGTTAATCAAAATTAAGTCTCCTTATTAGTCATTTCAAATATATGATTTCTAGTGATTTTTAGGGGATTTCAAAGGTTAATTCCAAAATTTGTGCCATTTCCTCTGACAAATACTTCCAAACGTTACATGGAAAGAGTGCAGTACTGCTACAATTTTACTTTCTAAACATGATTTCCTACCTGTGTTTGAGCACAGTCATATATTATTTGTAAGTAGACAATGCAAACCTAAAATAAAAATCACTGACTAGCAAGGAATCTAATGCTTTATAATCAGTAAAACCAAAAAATAATAAACAAAGACACCCTAGTCATGCAAACATACAAATCAAATCCAAAACAAATAATAAATTCAACTAAAATACAACCAAATTTAACCCAGACACTTGAAATGGATCAAAATTTTTGACTGAATAGTTTATTCACTGAAAAATATAGTTTCAGGTCACCAAAGCTAGTTGCAAATTTGAAAAAAACTGGGTGAGCTAGATTCACAGAAAGAGTGAGGATGTCTCTGTTGCCCAAGGTTAGGGCACTCACTTAAGAGGGGGAAGACCCCAGCTCCAGTCTCTGCTCCTTAGCAGGAATTCATGTCTGGGTTTCTCACATCCCAGGTGAGTTCCTTAACAACTAGGCTATTAGTACAAAGGAAGACCTGACATCACCAGTTTTATTAATCTAACCCTTCATTTCCTTTGCTTTTATTTTAAAAAGCCAAAGGTTAAAAATGCCCCCAAAACAAAATAAAATATTCCATTTAACATTCCATTCCTTTTTCAATTCACAAAAAAATGCGAATTGGTTTTAGTCAAGCAGAATTTCTGGGTTTTTTTGGAACTGTCTGTAAACCAAAAAAATCAGTTTTTCCCACAGCTGTACTAGACACTGAGTTTCCAGACTCAAAACCTAGTATTCTACTGTTTACAAGAGCAAGCACTGTATCCAAATTTGTGGCTCCAGACAAGAAATGTGGCAGTTCCTATTAACAATTGAGACATACTACACTGAAGTCAGTGCAGAAACAGAGCTGCTCTCTGTAAATCAAAGTAGCAATTCACAAGGTGACAAAATACACAACTTTGAAAACTTGACAGTGTTAGTATCTGTTTGCACATATCCATTATTTCCCTAAACATCTTTTTACATGATATTCTTTACCATTAGAGACATCCAGTTTGATTGATAAGTAGCATTTGGGGACAACAGTAAGAAATTGGTCTAGAAACTAACATCAAATACTGAAATATGAAAACGAAAAAGCCTGGTTTCAGAAAGAAGCTAAATTTCAACTGATTTAATGGCATCTATTCTAAAATAAAACAGTCACAGAGACACTAAATCCTGACACCCCTCCTCCATATTGCCTTGTACTGATGAGAAGTTAAAAAAAGTTCAAGAAATGGCATCGATTTTTGTGAAATTATTTATAAGGGCCAGTCCCTAATCAAACCAGTTAATGCATTCTTCTGTTGGTGATGCACCCTATCCTACATAATTTCACTTGCCACCAATTTGACAGGCAAGGTGATGTAAGCATGCAGTAAATTAATTAACCCCTGCACACAAGGATAAGCAGATAGATACACAGCTCCTGGGTGTGAAGCTCCAGGGTAACAACCCACAGAGCTGTAGCTTATGGCAGTGGTTTTCAACCTGTGGTCCAAGGACCCCTGAGAGTCTGCAGACTATGTCTATGATTTCCAAATGGGTCCGTACCGCTACCTGAAATTTTTTAGGGCTCTGCAAATGAAAAAAGGAAGAAATCCACTGGCTTCCAGGGGTGCTGGAACAATTTGTATAGTGGGGGTGCTGAGAGCCATTGAGCCAAACCTGTAAACCCACCCTATCTATATACGATGGGAACCACTTCAAGCCAGGGGGTGCAGGCCACCCCTAGTGCCAGCATCAATACTAACTTCTGGCATCCAGAGGCGTTTCTCAGCCAGCCTGCTTTCAGCTAGATCACAACAGTTCCCGCAGAGGAGAGGCTCTGCTGCAGATGTTGCAAGGTCTCAGGGCAGCCCCCCTGCCCGCGCTCCACAACTGCTCTAAGGGCTCCCGCTGCTTCCCGGGAGCCCAGGCACCTGGGGCTTCTCTTGGGGGGCTGGGGAAGGAGGGAGTTCAAGGGAGAGGAGCGGCGGGGCAGAGGTAGGGAGCAAGGCTGGGGACAGCCCGGCTCTGGCTCACCCGCGGCTCGGCAGAGACGCCTCCTCCCCAAACCCCGGGCGGGCCCCCCGGCGCTGCGAGCTCCCAGCCCCGCCACCCCCTTACCTCCACCAGCTCCGTCCGGGCCCCGCCGGCAGTACCAGCCGGCTCGCTGCAGCCCCGGACACTCCGCCCCCACTGAGCAAGGAGCCCGGCCCCGCCCCAGCGAGCGTCCCTCCGCACCAGGCGGCCCCCCGGCCTGCGCTCTAGGTCCTCAGCCCGGCCGCGGCGGCGGCCCCGCCACCGCCCGGCAGCCGTGCACGGAGCACCCCAGAGTGGGGGCATCGCTGCGTGGAGGGCCCAGCCCGTCCCTGGCCCTGCGCCCCGCACTCAGGTACCTCACTCCAGTCCAGGCTGAGGGCGCTGAATTGTTCCCAGCCCTTCACTAGGCGGAGCTGAGGTTAAGTGCAGCTCCAGCGGGCAGGGAAAAGCAGGAGCTCCACAGCCCAGAGGCTAGAAGGGGGGGGGGGGGGAGGGAGAGGAGGATCTGCTTCGTGCCCTTGGCTGCTGCGTCTGTTTCCCCTCCTTCCTTTCCTCCCCAAACTGCTTCTCCCGCACCCCACAGGCTGTCCCCTTGCATCCAATGCAGCCCAGTCCCATCCCCTGTAATGCTACACTTCCTTACAGTGCTTTATAAGTGGAAGGCAGAGCATCTGCTCCCCTTATGAGGTTATATTAGTAAAAACATGACTAGGCTTGGCACGATTTGATTTGTATCCGATAAATGTCAGTTTCACTTAGGGTAACCAGATGTCCCGATTTTATAGGGACAGTCCCGATTTTTGGGTCTTTTTCTTATATAGGATCCTATTACCCCCCACCCCGTCCCAATTTTTCACATTTGCTGTCTGGTCACTCTAGTTTCACTGAATGCAGTGGAGGTGTAGCCCTGTTGAGCCCAGGATATTAGAGAGACAAGGTGAGTGAGGCAAGATCTATTGGACCAATTTTCCACTGTACACACACAAACTGATAAAAATATTTCTGTATCCAACCTGACAGATGGCAAAGAAAGAAAAATGCTTCTTGAGTAATTATCAGTTTGATTTAACGATATTTAGCATTGGTCTACTTTTAAAATTTAGGTCAACCTGGGTACATCGCTTCAGGGGATGAGTGTGAAAAATTCACAGAAAAAAAAAAAGAGTTCTTGTGTCCTCCGAGCTACTGCAGTTTCTCCTCCCTTGGTGTTCACACCTCAACTGCTAGCAGAGCACCTCACCCTCCCTGATTGAACTAACCTCGTTATTTCCAATACGGATTTATACCTGCCTCTGGAAATTTCCATTACTTGCATCTTAAGAAGTGAGGTTCTTACCCATGAAAGCTTATGCTCCCAATACTTCTGTTAGGCTTAAAGGTGCCACAGGACCCTCTGTTGCTTTTTACAGATTCAGACTAACACGGCTACCCCTCTGATACTTGAAGCCTAAATATGACACACAGTGGGGAATGCTTATTAAACAGACTTTACTAAAAGTGCTCAGCTTACTTCAAAGACCCAAAAAAAACCCTGTGTAGAACTAGATACTTACAATTAACAAATGACAAGTTAGGTTGTAAGAACACAGAACTTTCTGCATCAATTGGACACATGCATGTGGAGTATTGACTGCCAAAAAATATCTCCAACAATTCTAAGAAATTTCCTCAGTAGTGTAAGACAGTGATTGGAAATGATTCCACCCTCGCTGCATCATTTGTCCATGGCACAGTGGACTCGTATTACAATACACCTCCACTGTTATTGTCAGTAACTTCACACCAAGAATCAGTCAATACTTCAAGTGACCCTATTTTCAAAATAAAAAAGTGGAACACTTGTTTGGCATTTCTTTTTAGAGTCACGAAACACAAGTCATACTAAAGGCAAAAGTACACTGTACAAAACAAGAGTGTGCTATCGTCACTGCCAGCTTGTGACTCAGTGATATTTGCATCTCTCTCCTGGTGAAGGATTTTTCTTGGTAAGAGTGTTCTAAATAAAATCATAAAACTCAAGAACAATTTTTATAGTGTCTGCTCTCATTCAACTTGTCTGTTCACTTTATGCCTGTCTTTTCATGGTGTTACAACCTGGCCCAGTACCCTACTATGTGTCATGGGGGGAGGGATAGCTCAGTGGTTTGAGCGTTGGCCTGCTAAACCCAGGGTTGTGAGTTCAGTCCTTGAGGGGACCATTTAGGGAACTGGGGTAAAAATCTGTCTGGGGATTGGTCCTGCTTTGAGCAGGGGGTTGGACTAGATGACCTCCTGAGGTCCCTTCCAATCCTGATATTCTATGATTCTATGAATCTGTTGCAAGTGGACCCAGTTTCTATGTCCCACATGCTTCCAAACCAACAGGGTAGAGTCTAGTCACTGTTTCTAGCTTTGAGGCTCCAGGGCACACACTCTCTCTCTCTCTGACCCAGGGGCGGCTCTAGGCATCAGCAAAGCAAGCACGTGCTTGGGGCAGCCCATTTGCACGGGCGGGCGGCAGGGATCCAGCATGGGAGCTGAGAACCAACAGGGGGCCCTGGGAGCTGTAGTTCCTTGGTTAGCTCCCTGCCTATAGAGCCAGCCCTGGAGCAGGGAAAGAACTACATTTCCCAGCATTCCCTTGGCTACTACAAAGAGGGAGAGGGAGTGAGGTAGCTGAGACCTCATGCTGCAGCCTGCTATGAATGGAGAGCTGCACTCTGAAAGGGTAGGGAAACCATATTTTAACATTCAAAAAATAGGACACTCCACAGGGAGGGAGGGTAGCCCCACCCTGCCACCATCCACTCCCTCTGACTGCCCCCCACAGAAACCCCAACCCATCCAACACCCCCCCTGCACCCTGTCCCCTGATCACCCCCTCCCGGGACCCCTGCCCCTAACTGCCCCCCAGGACCCCACCCCCTATCTAAGCCTCCCTTCTCCTTGTCCCCAACTGCCCCCTCCTGAGACCGCCCCAACTTCCCCCCTAGAACCCCACCCCCTACTTGTCCCCTGACAAATCCCCAGGACTCCCATGCCTATCCAACCGCTGCCTGTCCCCTGACTGCCCCCCAACCCCTGACCCATCTAACCCCCCCTTCTCCCTGCCCCTGACTGCCCCCCCGAACCTCCAGCCCACCAGCCCCTTACCGTGCTACTCAGACCAGCGTTTCTGGCTCCGCGCAGCGCCAGACACACTGCTGCATACATGCCTGCCGTGCTACCCGCAGAGCCACAGCCCCCTCCTCCCCCCAGCACCTGCCTTCCAGATTTGAACACCTCAAAATTCAGGAGTGCTCAAGCTCAGTTTGGGCAGCTGTTACTTCATTTCTCCCAAATCAAATATACTGATCCACTGTAACTTG